AGGAATACAGAAGACGTGGGAAGTGCTGCTATCCTACTGTGGTATGCCAGTGAAAAGTGTTCTGGGGCTGTTCCCTGGTGCAGAAGTCTGCAATGTGGTCACGGGTGTAAAGTCAACAACAACGTTGTTACGAGAAATAAAAACTGCTGGAGCTGAGAGCCCTCTAGAAAACGTGCACTTTCAGGGTCAGTCACTCGAGGTCTCTGCTAGGAATTCATACTGCAGTAGCTGCCGTGGCCCCCAGCTCCAGAGAAAGGCCTGGCTCTTTGGGGTGTGGTGTCAGAGGGGAACAAGGGCAGGTCTGTCCCAAGTGGTGTGGACCATGCATTTTCTAACGTGGGCAGAAGAATGGCCTGGCAGGCAGTGGTGCAGCCTGGCACTGTACAGCAGTGGGGCAGCACGCTGCTTTTTACGGCTTCCTTCCAAGTGTAATAACTTTGGAGGAGAGATTAATTTTCCTGCTGCCTGCTGAGTTGCAAAGAGGCGGAAAAGATGCACCTGGATTCATAATTTTAGAGTAGTGGGGACCTCCAATGAGGAACAAATGCAAACAGCTCCTTTGAGTGGATGCAATAAATTCTGAGAAGTGCTTGCCACCTCAAATTTAAAAGGTATGAGGGGAGGTGCTGAAGTGAAATGAGTCCAAAATAACAAAGCCCCAGTTCTCTTGGGCAGTTAACAATGTGCTCTAGTTAAAGCTGATCTCCTGAGAGACGAGAGAAACACAGGGATTGGTGGCTTGGGTCAGTGTTAATGAGGGAAATAAAGTGATGAGACATACTTTAAATCCCACTAAAGGGATCAGCAAACTCCTTTCATCACTTCGAGATAGTGCAAGAAGTTCTTTATAATTAACTTTAGTTTATAATTAACTTGGAATAGAGGTGTTAGGGAAAGCTGAAATCAGGAAGTGCTCTGGGATAAAAGTGCTGTGGTGTCATGTGGCCACGCAACCCCAGCTGGCATCCAGGGTGGACTGGACCTTCAGCCCCTCTGCCCAGCACAGGCTTCCCTCCGAAGCAGCGCTCTGGGATGCTCGTGCCTGCGGGCTCTGGGGGAGCCTCTCAGTCTCCCGCCAGGCTGGACCGTGGCTCCTGAGTCATCCTTTGTCTGTCAGGAACAGGCTAAGGATTTTTCATGGGAGTTGGGCTCTCTTCTGCCATGGTCTCCAGACCAACCCTGAAGTTTCCTCCAGGATAGCACAGGGATGGAGGATACCATGTCGGTGAGAGCATTGTTTTAGCCACTTGTGCAAGGGATTTTTGGTGCAGAACAATCCAGACAAACTGTGCAACAATTCTCTTCAGGGAGTTATGACTATTGAAGCAAAAAGGTGGAAACTTTGGAGATGACACAAACTAATGTGCTATGGGAGAAACAGGAAGTCGGACAATTCAGCAACAGAGGAGTTCAGTGAAAGTTATCAGAATACTAAGAGGCTGAAACCAGCTCTGTGTGTGTACATATGTGTTGTGCTGTAACAGCATGGAATTTCAGTTGCAAGAGTAACTAGGGGCTGTTGCTGAGAAGAGGGTCCCATCCAGACAGTCTTGACACAAATATTCCCTAAAGAGAGTGCAAGAGAAAGATGCTGTCCCAGCCTGAGCAATTGGGAATGGACTTAGAGACAAGAACAAATCTTCCCTAAAGAAAGTGCAAACAGCTCCAGACTTACAGCAAACTGTAAGCTTTAGCTTACAGAACAGCAAGGAGTTTTTCTTGTTGCTATTTTACCAGCATACTCCTTGCACTAGTGAAAATGAATCAGGGTGGTTTTTCTCCCTTCCAGGCCAGCCCAGATGACGTGGGAGTGAGTTCCCACGGGTGCAATGGTTGGAGCAGTGGTGCCCCCCTAGGGTGGCCCATGTACGGTGCTGCTGTGCTGGAGCTGGGGCCAGATGCCATCTCTAAAGGAGCAGAAAGCTGCGATTTGCTCCTTCAGGGAGATTCAGGGCCTCTTTCCCAGCTACAGCAATGAATTATTTGGGAGATGTGGCACCAACAACCAGCAGCGATCGTGGGTTTGGTGCCAGACAAGTCAAGTGCAGATACTGAAGAGCCTACAGTGCTGGCCCCTGCACCCTGTGCCACACAGGCTAGAGAACACATCATGGTGCTTGAGCTGGCCAGCCACAGAGGTGTGTCCTTAGACCTCCTGATGACAGGAGTGATTAGCCAAGGATGTGACTTGCCAAGGGCTAGGGTGTATTTTCTTACACGGAAGATTAAACAGAGTAACAATCAGCATGCTATGTCCTTTTGGTATTTACATTTTCCTAAAGCAGATCTGGGGCATTTCTAGGGAGTTACAGAAACTTAGACTGGCCAGTTGTCTGGCTTTGGCCTGTGCAAATCAAGAGATGAACTAAGAGTTTAGGCTGGGGATCTGGTACTGGGCAGGGCACCATGGCCTCAAGCAAGCCTGTGAGGCCAGGCTGGCTGTTAGGAGGGCACCCTTACTATTCCCCACAGGGGAAAACTCCTCTGGGCATCAGCCTCTGGATGAGCAGAAGATGATTCTTCTCTCCCTGCTTCTGCCAGACCTGTGTGGTGGGTGCAACACTCTCCCCAAAAGCACCTGAGAGAGCAGCAGCTCCTGGCACGGGGAGCACGTACACTGTGTGCACCCCAACCAGCCTCTCTGCCCTGTGCGTGTGGCATCCCTTGCCACAAGCCAGTTAAAGCTGATTTGAGCTCTTCTCTGCATTCTGTCTCCTGCCCAGGGTTTCTTCTCAGGAGGAAAAGAAAGGGGAAGGAGACCCAACGGGGAATTTTGTCCTTCTTTTCCCCACTGCAGTCTGCAAAAGGGAAGATGTTCTTTCTTCTGCCTCCCTACCATTGCCTTTAAACCTTGGAAATAATGGAGGACAGTTGCGTCTCAGCACTGTAGTCTGAGAACAAACATTTTACTGATTCCACATGGCTTAAGAGCAGGAGTGCTTTAAATCAGGGGCAAGACTAAAGGGTTTGTTGCTAAAGCAGGCTGCCAGCACAGAGCCCTCGAGGAAAACAAACAGTGCAGTCTCCACATATTATTAGAAAAGTATTTCCCTGTCTGAAGGAAAGGGTCCGAGGAGGAAACTTCAGGCCAGAAAAGCAGCTCACAAGAAAGCTGCACATCAGAAGGGGAGTCAGTGGGCAATGCTATTGCACTGCATGGCCCTGGTACACCCCCAACTCCCCTCGCCAGCAGCTTTCTCCAGAAATGCCACAGCACTGAAAGGAGGAAAGAAGCCTCCAGGGATTTCCTAGAGCTGAATGGAAAACACTACAAAAGCCCAACCAACTGAACAGAATTTGCTCAGCCCCTTGTGCGTGGCAGCGAGCAGGGAACAACTGCAGAGTGACTCAGGCTCACAGGAAGCAGGCGCCTAAAGCCTCTCTCTAACCCCTGGTGCCAGCTAATGGGGTGCTAGAGGCAAGCTTCAGGTGGAATTACTGGGGCTTTCAACTGTCCGTGGAGGGGCTCTGCTCTTGGTGCCCTAACTCTGCCCCTGGCTGCAGTGTGGCTCTTGTGTACGTGTAGGATGGCCAGGGAGCAAGCTGGAGGCGAGAGCGTGTGCAAGGTTTGCCCCCCGCCCCTGGTACTTCCAGTCAGCATTTTAGCCTCTCGTATACAGCCTGGTCAGTCACAGGGCTGCAGGTCAGGCTCGTGACTTTCTAGCTCAAACACAGCTCAGCTTTGATTCACCCGGAGTCACATGGGATGCTGAAAGGCCACATGAATGTTCAGAAATGGATGTGGGGGATACCCAGGCAAAGGATGCTGTCAGGAGTCGGGATGCTGTCAGGAGTCGGGATGCTGTTCA